CCCCGCCCATGCCCCCCCCCCGACGACGCCCGACGACGACGGCGCAGCCGCCCGACGACGACCCCCACGACGCCGACGCCCACGCCCGACGATGTGGCGACGCCGCCCCACGCCCACACGAAGACGCCGGCGCGCCGCCGCGGCGGCGGCGGCGCCGACGGGGATCGCAGCGGCCTGCGCCTCCTCCTCCTCCTCCTCCTTCTCCTCCTCCTCCTCCTCCTCCTCTGCGTCCTCCTCCTCCTTATCCTCCTTCCCCCCTCCAACTTATGGTGGTGGCGGTGGAAAACAGGCCCATCAAGGCAGGCCTGCGCTGGATCGGCGGCGCCGCCGCAACGGCGGCGGCGGCCACCGCAGCGGGGGCCGCCGGCGAGGGCGGCGCGCGCGCGCGCCTCGGCCGCCGCAGGTCGGCGACGTGGGCCTGCTGGTGCCCCCCGGCGGCCAGCCGGGCGCTCGCGCCGTGCGGCGCTTCGCGTCGTTGGAGGACGGCGCGGTCGGCGTCGGCGGCGGCGTCGTCGGAGGGGCCTTTCGTCCGCGTCGCCGTCGTAGGCGTTGGCGTCGTCGTCGTCGCCGTCGTCGTCGTCGGAGGCGGCGGCGGCGGCTTCGTCGTCGTCGTCGTCGTCGTCGTCGTCGTCGTCGTCGTCGTCGTCGTCGTCGTTGTCGTCGGCGAGGCCCGTCGTTCGCGTCGCCGTCGCAGGCGATGGCGGCCTCGGCGTCGTCGTCGGCGGTGTCGTCGTCGCGGGAGGGAGGGAGGGAGCGGGAGATGGAGAGCGAGAGGGAGGAAGGAGAGGGAGAGGGAGAGGGCGAGGGAGAAGGAGGTTCACCGCCCATAGAGGGAGAGTCAAGGGGGGAGAGAGGAAAATTGGGGTGGGGGCGCCCATCAGACGAGAACTTTTTGTTCCCGCCCGAGGCTGTGACCCACCTCGGGCGGGCCCAGCCGACAGGGCCCCCCACCCCCCAGAAACTCACCCTTCGGCCTCTGGGTCCGCGGCACCCGCCGCCCTGGCCTGGGCAGAAGCTCGATCCAGGAGCACCTGTCGACCAAGCTCTTCAGCCTCCGCTCTGGAGCTGAAGCCAAAAGCGAGCAGCACGGAATCCAAGCCGAGGCGTGGAGCCACGGCCTGTTTCGAAAAAGGGACGACCCTCGGCGCTCTTGGAGCCACGGCCGCCCCAACAGGGGCCTCCCCGAAGTGCCTGGAGAAACGGCCCCTGGTCTCCTCGGACGGGGCCTCCGAAGGCCCGAGCGCCACCAGAGGGTGTAAAACAGGATGAAAACTTTCTTTCAGCCTCTTTCGGACAGTGTACGCTGACCCCCCCGAGAGCTTCTTGGGCCCCTTGCAGACTCCCACAAGACCTCGCTGCATCGGGGTGGTCGCATACTGCCAACAAGACGGGCAATAAATTATCGGGGAATTATTGGGCACCGAGCTCTGCACTACACAGTGACCATTCACTCTCCAGGGCTGAACACCCTTGTCCAGGAGCCAGTCGGGATCCTCTGAGGCGGGCCCTGGAGGTTCCACCGCAGCAGCACGAGCAGGAGGCTCAGGAGGAGGGGGGACCGCGTCAATGGACTCCGCCTCAGGAACCTCTGGGACCGACAAACCGTGGTAGTGCATCAGCCCCAGGTCGATTTTCTTGAGGTACTCGACCCCAACATTGTCCCGAATTTCGGACGAGGCCATCGAGGCCGCCAGCTGGGCCGAAAACTTGGCCGCGAGCTTGGCAATCAACTGGCATCCTTCTACCAGCTCAAAGTCGCAGACGGCGGCTCTGGCTTGGGCCGCACCTCTTGGCGAAGCTATCTGCAGCATTGTTGCCGTCTCTGTCGAACGGCGAAATCAGGTCGCGCTCCACGCTGGCGGCCGACGTGTGGGCCTTGACATGCTCGAACGGCCGAGCACGGAAATCTTCGCGCGCATGAACCCGCCTCCACAGGTGGGCTCGCGGGTTGCACGCCGACGTCGACAAGCTGGGCGACTGGCAGCAACTTAGTGTACCCTTGCAGTCTGCCCGCACAGAGAAATGACCCAGAACATTCTGGGCGCACATCAGCATAGCATAGTCTTCACCATCTCTGGCCGTGCCAGTGATGCCGATATCAGGCGGCACTGCTCCAAATATCGCTCCGACGTAGCATCTCTCGGAGTCGTACAGCACCACGCTCCAGCCAGCAACTTTGAGGGACGGGTGGTGCTGGTCAAGGCCCGACCCATCCGTGAAGACGTATCCTCCTTCCAGGAGGATTGGCAGCTGGAGGGCGCCGTGCACCCACAGCCCCCAGCTTGGATTGAAAGGTGGTCTCCCCACGCACGAGGGAGAATGAGGAGGAGGTGGAGGAGGAGGAGGAGGACGGGGAAGAGGAGGTGGAGGACATGTGGTGGTTCTGTTTGGGGGGCACTTCCATGGATACAGATGGGGCAGAAGTGGAGGAACAGGTGGAGGGCAAGTGGAAAGGGATGGGGGAGGCAAGCAGCGGGACGAGGGGGGAGGATGGGGAGGGGCAGGCTTGGAATGGGGGGGACGAGGATGGGAAAGATGGTGCAGAGGAAGACACGGAGGAGGACCAGAGTAAAGCCACGCTTGCTGAAAGAATGTTGAAACTCGCCCTTGCATCCCAAGTGTCCCCACTTCGCGAAGCGCCCCTTTGAACGAGAGCCACGCGTCAGGCGGGAGTTCCGTCTTGACACGGAGCGCGGCATGGGAGGGTGTCGAGCGGCAGCCCCGCTTCGAGAAGGAGCCGCCCTCCTCCCGTGCAGCTGCTGTGCACCACGGCGTCCATCTTCTGGTCGCGACGTCTTCGGAGGTCTCGGGCGACTGCCCCCTTCCGGAAAAGCAGTCGCCATCCGTCCGTGCAGCTGCCGCACAACACTGCAGAATCTGGGTGACAAGTCGGGCGAGGGCCCTCAAAGAGGGAGCCGGCTTCCATCCGTGCACCTGTTGTACCAGTCTAGCCTCCTCCTAATTCAAGCTTCGCGCTGCCCGCTTAGCTTCGACCGGAAGAGGTGCGCTCTCGACCCGCGGATCCAAAATCTTTTGTACCAGTCCACCACGCCTGGAGGGAAGACAGCGTCTGGATGGCAGACGGTCATGCCACAGCAGGCGAGACGCCCCGCCCGCCCCCACCACGACGATACGTCTGGCGGTGCGACAGGGGAGAGCTGTTCATGAGGAAGCAGGAGCTGATGAGGGAGGGGGGGGGAGGAGGAGGAGGAGGAGGAGGAGGAGGAGGAGGAGGAGGAGGAGAGGAGGAGGAGGAGGAGGAGGAAGAGGACAAGGAGGAGAGGGCCCAGGAGGAGGAGGAGGAGCAGGAGGATTTGGAGGTGGAGGGGGAGGGGGAGGGGAGGGAGGGAGAGGCAAGGAAAAGGGTAGGAGGGGAGAGGGGGGTAAGAAGGTAGATAATGCGGATGAGGGAAAGATATTGAGGAGTAGAAGGAGAAAGAGGAGGATGAAGCGGAGGAGGAGGAGCAGGAAGAGGAGAAGGAGGAGGAGGCGGAGGGACGGGCAGGGGAAGGGGGAGGGGAAGGGAGATTCGCAGAAGGAGGAGGATGCCCCATGAGGATGCAATACTTTGCACCCCACTGTTGTCGTTATTGTCTGGCGTCGTCTCATCATCCTCCTCATCCTCCTCCTCCTCCTCCTCCTCCTCCTCCTCCTCCTCCTCATCATCATCATCATCATCATCATCATCCACGACCACCTCCACCCCGCATGCTCTATGTCCCCATGAGTGCCACTGGTGACGGGATAGAGTGCCACAACGCACCAGACATGTTCTCACACTGTGTAGTTCTGAAAGGTTGCCGTGCTGAGCTCCCCATTGTGGTAAACGAGGCACGTTCCATATATGACCGAGTGAGTACCGAAAGAGCGTAGACAGTGAGCGTCTGGCGATACACTCACTTTGGGAGTTCGTCAGCGACATGTTTCTGGGAGGGTTCTGGTATGCTGCTGCGTCACCGACAGCGCATGCAGCATTAGCAAGCGCCGCTACATTTTAAGGCGATGCGCCGATGTTCATGCAGCTGTTTTTGTTCAGTCACTCGGGTATTCAGGTGAGGTTCGTTCCCACATCCGCCGCGGAAGAACGAGGAGGGCAAGAAGAAGGGCAGGTAGGGAGGGAGACGAGGAAAGAGGATGAGGAGGAAAAGAGCGTCGGTTGATGAGATGATGGTGGTGAGGAGGAGAAGGAGGAGAAGAACCAGGAATAGGAGTTGGAGTCGGAGTCAGAAACGAAGTACGGATGGTAACGGGGACCGGACTACAAGTAAATTTGAATTGAGCATGAAGGCGTGAGTACCGGATCATGCAGAAGAGTGCGAGTGCGAGGCCCAGGTACAAGGTTGGATTTACAGTACAAGTAGAAAGTGTAGGAGTAGACGTACCGCTGGCAGCAGTATAAGTAGCAGCTAGTAGTTTCTCAGTCGTAGACTGTCAGTGGCTTGGTATCGTTAGTAGCGGTAGTTGAAGTAATGGTAGTGGTAGTAGCCGTGGTGGTAGTAGTAGTAGTAGTAGTAGTAGTAGTCGTAGTAGTCGTAGTAGTCGTAGTAGTCGTAGTAGTCGTAGTAGTAGTAGTAGTAGTAGTAGTAGTAGTAGTAGTAGTAGTAGTAGTAGTAGTAGTAGTAGTAGTAGTACTACTACTACCTATACGACCACCCTGCGGGTGATAAGGAGGTGAGGGGGGAGGGGGAATCAGCGTCTCACTCAATCGATCTCGCTATCGATATGACAATCGATCTCACATTTGATCTCGCTATCGATATCACTATCGATCTCGTTATCGATCTCACTATCGATCTCACAATCGGTCTCACAATCGATCTAACATTCGGTCTCATATTCGGTCTCACTGTCGATCGCACTATCGATCTCACAATCGATCTCACAATCGACGTCATCATCATCATCATCATCAACATCAACATCAACATCATCATCATCACCATCATCACCGCCATCATCAACATATCGATCTCACAATCGATCTCACATTCGATCTCATTATCGATATCACTATCGATCGCGCTATTGATCTCACGATCGATCTCACAATCGATCTCACAATCGATCTCACATTCGGTCTCACATTCGGTCTCACTGTCGATCGCACTATCGATTTCACAATCGATCTGACAATCGACGTCATCATCATCATCATCAGCATCATCAACATCATCATCAACATCAACATCATCATCAACATCAGCATCACCATCATCATCATCATCATCATCATCATCATCATCATCATCATCATCATCATCATCATCATCATCATCATCGCCATCATCATCATCGCCATCATCAACATCATCATCATCACCATCATCATCATCACCATCATCATAATCATCGGGGACCATCACTATCGGGACACCGACGGGACACCGACGGGACACCGACGGGACACCGGCGGGACACCGCGCGCCACCGGCCGCCAGGAAGAGACACATTTGGTCCGGCCGCGCCTCAGCCACAGGGACA